GATAGTGGTGAAGGTAACTAGCCAGATGATAGTGGTGAAGGCAACTAGCATGATAATGGTGAAGGCAACTAGCCAGATGATAGTGGTGAAGGCAACTAGCCAGATGATAGTGGTGAAGGCAACTAGCCAGATGATAGTGGTGAAGGCAACTAGCAGATGATAGTGGTGAAGACAACTAGCAAGATGATAGTGGTGAAGGCAACTAGCAAGATGATAGTGGTGAAGGCAACTAGCCAGATGATAGTGGTGAAGGCAACTAGCCAGATGATAGTGGTGAAGGCAACTAGCCAGGTGATAGTGGTGAAGGCAACTAGCCAGATGATAGTGGTGAAGGCAACTAGCAGATGATAGTGGTGAAGGCAACTAGCCAGATGATAGTGGTGAAGGCAACTAGCCAGGTGATAGTGGTGAAGGCAACTAGCCAGGTGATAGTGGTGAAGGCAACTAGCCAGATGATAGTGGTGAAGGCAACTAGCCAGGTGATAGTGGTGAAGGCAACTAGCCAGATGATAGTGGTGAAGGCAACTAGCCAGATGATAGTGGTGAAGGCAACTAGCCAGATGATAGTGGTGAAGGCAACTAGCAAGATGATAGTGGTGAAGACAACTAGCAGATGATAGTGGTAAAGGGCAACTAGCCAGATGATAGTGGTGAAGACAACTAGCCAGATGATAGTGGTGAAGCAACTAGCAGATGATAGTGGTGAAGACAACTAGCAGATGATAGTGGTGAAGGCAACTAGCCAGATGATAGTGGTGAAGGCAACTAGCCAGGTGATAGTGGTGAAGACAACTAGCCAGATGATAGTGGTGAAGGCAACTAGCCAGATGATAGTGGTGAAGACAACTAGCCAATGTAGTGGTGAAGGCAACTAGCAGATGATAGTGGTGAAGGCAACTAGCCAGGTGATAGTAGTGAAGGCAACTAGCCAGATGATAGTGGTGAAGGCAACTAGCCAGATGATAGTGGTGAAGACAACTAGCCAGATGATAGTGGTGAAGGCAACTAGCCAGATGATAGTGGTGAAGGCAACTAGCCAGATGATAGTGGTGAAGACAACTAGCCAGATGATAGTGGTGAAGGCAACTAGCATGATAATGGTGAAGGCAACTAGCCAGATGATAGTGGTGAAGAATAGAAGATTAGTGGTGAAGGGAACTAGCCAGATGATAGTGGTGAAGGAACTAGCCATGATGTGGTGAAGACACTAGCCAGATGATAGTGGTGAAGGACAACTAGCCAGATGATAGTGGTGAAGGAACTACCCAATGATAGTGGTGAAGGCAACTAGCCAGATGATAGTGGTGAAGGACAACTAGCCAGATGATAGTGGTGAAGAACTACCCATGATAGTGGTGAAGGCAACTAGCCAGATGATAGTGGTGAAGACAACTAGCCAGATGATAGTGGTGAAGGCAACTAGCCAGATGATAGTGGTGAAGGGAACTAGCCAGATGATAGTGGTGAAGGGAACTAGCCAGATGATAGTGGTGAAGACAACTAGTCAGATGATAGTGGTGAAGGCAACTAGCCAGATGATAGTGGTGAAGGGAACTAGCCAGATGATAGTGGTGAAGACAACTAGTCAGATGATAGTGGTGAAGGCAACTAGTCAGATGATAGTGGTGAAGACAACTAGCTAGTGGTGAAGGCAACTAGCCAGATGATAGTGGTGAAGACAACTAGCTAGTGGTGAAGGGAACTAGCCAGATGATAGTGGTGAAGATAACAGTCAGATGATAGTGAAGGCAACTAGCCAGATGATAGTGTGAGGGCAACTACCCAGAGATATGAGGCAACTAGCAGATGATATGGAAGACAACAACCAGATGATAGTGGTATAAGGAGCAACTAGCCAGATATAGTGGTGAAGCAATAGCCAGATGATAGTGTGAGGCAACTAGCAGATGATATGGTGAAGGCAACTAGCCAGATGATAGTGGTGAAGACAACTAGTCAGATGATAGTGGTGAAGACAGCAGCAGTAACAACAGCAGCAACAACAGTAGCAGTAACAATCGCAGCAACAACAGCAGCAACAATAGTAGCAGTAACAACAGCAGCAGCAACAACAGTAGCAGTAATAACAGCAGCAACAACAACAGTAGCAGTAACAACAGCAGCAACAACAGTAGCAGTAATAACAGCAGCAGCAACAACAGTAGCAGTAACAACAGCAGCAGCAACAACAGTAGCAGTAACAACAGTAGCAACAACAGCCGTAACAACAGCATCAGCAACAACAGCAGCAGCAACAACAGTAGCAGTAACAATAGCAGCAACAACAGTAGCAGTAACAACAGCAGCAGCAACAACAGTAGCAGTAACAACAGTAGCAACAACAGCAGTAACAACAGCAGCAGCAACAACAGCAGCAGCAACAACAGTAGCAGTAACAATAGCAGCAACAACAGCAGTAACAACAGCAGCAGCAACAACAGTAGCAGTAACAACAGAGCAGCAGCAGCAGCAGCAGCAACAACAGTAGCAGTAACAACAGAGCAGCAGCAGCAGCAACAACAACAGTAGCAGTAACAACAGAGCAGCAGCAGCAGCAACAACAGTAGCAATAACAACAGCAGTAACAACAGAGCAGCAGCAGCAACAGCAACAACAGTAGCAATAACAACAGCAGTAACAACAGAGCAGCAGCAGCAACAACAGTAGCAATAACAACAGCAGTAACAACAGAGCAGCAACAAACAGCAACAACAGCTGCTTCTCGGGTGACAACTCTCATCTGAGAAACAAAGCTAATTCCAGCAGACTTGGTATCGAGTGGCAACTATATATCTTTCTTGTCCATCCTGCAGCCCCCGGGCACCCATACAAGTTTACCGCTCTTCCCTTAATATAATAATAATGCTCCCATCATTTTCTTCAGTATATATGTATTTATATATCAGATTTTTCGTTTATTACGTCATCTGCTGTTCTTTGTGAGGTATAACTCAGCTATATTTATTGCTAAAGCGTTATCGTGAGGGTGGACAGGCAGTAATATTGGGATTATTATTATTGTTACTACTACTACCACCATTACATCATGGGGAGGCACTCAACCCATGGTGGGGGAGAGGTCATACAAGTGTCTCAAGAAATGGAAGGAATTCAGATTTGATTCAAAGAATTGAAGTATTGGTCCGGTTCTTTAAATTAAGATCCCCTCATAAATATCAATGAGCCTTCCTGGAGGGGAGTAATATTGACATAAGTATTCCAAAGCAATACTAGAAAGTTTAACTTAGTAGGTTTGATATGCAGCTCATAGCCATGGTGATGGTGGTAATCAGAAGATCACAGAGGTACATAAAGGGTGCATGAACTTGGCTACCATGTAATGGTGGCAGCTTACAATGGTAGTGACGTATTTACAAGTTTTTGACCAATAGTTTTTGTTGAATCCTGGTTTGGTGGCAGTGATATTAGGTGATTTCTAGGTGGCAGTGTTACCTGGTAGTCTGGCAGGTAAGGAGCCAGTGATTGTGTGATGGTGACAATAGATAGCGGCAGTATCACCTAGTAGTCTAACAGGAAGGGAGTAAGTGATTGTAATAGTGACAGTAGATAGGAGTGTCATTTGGTAATCTAGCAGCTAGGGCGTCAGTAACTGTGTGACAGTGTGACTGTGCACACTAAATCACACAAATTAAAACGCCTGATGTGAATCACATTATGTGATATCACATATTTAAAAAAATACTTTCAAGCCCTATGAAGCAAAACTTAAATTTTGGTAAATTGATTTCTCTGGCGTGTGCAGCCTCTCACTGGGAGGTAACCAGGTCTCTGCAGGTGGTGGTGGTGGTAAAATAGGTAGGCTGATTGCTTAATTGGCCTTAAAGCCTATCAACCAATCAAATGGTCATTAAGGCTGCATGTCACTTGTTCCTCACCAGTCAGGTACACTTTAAATCCCTAAAAGGGGAATTAAAATACACTCCCAGTGTGTATACAGTGAGAGATACCACTCAGTGTACATATATTCTTGCCACATCCCACCGCTCGTCAGAGACTAATGGATAGTGAAGACCTGAGGTGAAAGATAGAACCACTGTACCTGCCTGCTAAATGCAACTTGCAATGTTTTTACCGGTTCTTTGCAACTTACGAAATACCGTTAATGTCACCTGTTTCACAGCTGAAGGTGAAGTGCAACCTTCATATTATTGGATATCTGCCTACACTCATTCATCAATTTTGTATAGATTTTATTTATTATTAGAGGTAGTAGCAATAACAACACTAGCACTAATAGTAGTAGTAATAGTACCACTAGTAGTAGTAGTTACGGTAGTAGTAGTAATGGTAGTAGTAATAAGGGTTAAATAACGCATGGATAATACATTAGTAAAGACAAATCAAATTAATTTTTAGCAAATGCCAAAACCCCGAAAAATTAGTTAAATTTCCCGCTAAAAAATTGTAACCTTACACCGAGAAGTTTATATCTGAAGAAGAACTAATTAGTGTAACATTCCCAGATGTTACATAAGTATCTTATTCTTCAACTTGTCGGTTTTCTGAACCATATACATCACAGATTTATATCTCTCAGTGTATATACGTCGAGAGTTTAATCCTTATTTTAGGAACTGAAGTATTGAATGTTGGTGAACAAGTGACGTGCAGCCTTAACGACCCTCGTGTAGTAGTAGATAGATTTGAAGCCGAATTAATCAGTCTACCATTTGGAGTTACATGTGTGAGTAAGTGGAGGTAGTAGTAGTAGTAGTAGTAGTAGTAGTAGTAGTAGTATACTAATAATAATAATAATAATAAATCTATTTCAGCATGATACAATATACAGAGACGGGAGCATTTCTGGCCGGGTAAGGGTAAGTGTTAGGAAAATGTAGGGAGGGATTAGGCAGTGGGTTGGATATGTATGTGGGAGGGGGGGGGGCGTTTTCCCCTGCGTGTCATGGAGGGGGTGTTTGGGGTGGGGCCAGCCAGCAGGGTATATAAAGTGCGGGAGATGTGAAGTCAGCTCACTGTCTGTCCCATCGTCGCCAGGTTGCAACCTCTTCTGCCGCTCCTCTACACACACCCGTCATGTACCGTCAGATGCTGTCAGCTCTCCTAGTGGGCGTGGTGGTCGTGGGCGTGCTTGAGATGGGCGTAGCTGACGCCAAGCCAGCTCCACCCCAAGTGGCAGCCATGGCTGACGCTCTCAAGTACCTTCAAGAACTTGACAAGTACTACTCACAGGTTTCAAGACCCAGGTATGGCAATCACACACCCATAACCTCTTAACACTTCTTCTCTCAACCCCATTGCTCTTTACCCATTTTTAATGCCGCAACACCCACAGAAATGTAAAATTTGTTTCGATGCCAAAGGTCTTCAGCTCACTTCTGAGTCCGAAACCTCGCATGACTTCGAACGTGTCTTGGACTCGAGCAGCGCCTTGGTTTCAAGGCAGAGCATTACCAGCGCCTTGGTTTCAAGGCAGAGTATTACCAGCGCCTTGGTTTCAAGGCAGAGTTTACCAGCGCCTTGGTTTCAAGGCAGAGTTTACCAGCGCCTTGGTTTCAAGGTAGAGTATTACCAGCGACTTGGTTTCAAGGCAGAGTATTACCAGCACCTTGGTTTCAAGGCAGAGTATTACCAGCGCCTTGGTTTCAAGGTAGAGTATCACCAGCGCCTTGGTTTCAAGGTAGAGTATTACCAGCGCCTTGGTTGCAAGGCAGAGTACTAGTAGTACCTTGGTTGCAAGGCAAAGTACCAGCAGCGCCTTGGTTTCAATGCAGAGTACTAGCAGCACCTTGGTTTCAAGGCAGAGTACTCTCAGCACTGGTTGCAAGGCAGAGTACTAGCAGCACTGGTTGCAAGGCAGAGTACCCCAGATTTAGTTAATATGAAGATTTAAACAATCTATACCTCCTAATTTGGTCAACCATATTCAGAATTTCCGTACTTGCACCTCTACACCAATGTAGCTTCAACGCCAAGTTATATTGCGAGGTCAGGTCCCCTCAAGGGAGGTTCCTTGATACTGGTGAGTGGCTTTTGAACTGAGGGATTGAAACTATCCTCCAATCCCTTGAACCGAGTCTGAATGCCTTCCTGTCCCCCAGGAATATGATCCCTACGGGTTCAGCGCTGTCATTGATGCAATAATGTGAGGTTGTGTTAGGTAAAGTTTGTTTTGGTTAGGTTAATGTGTATTATCTTATATTTCCTATAAGGAAATTACGGAAGACAGGTCAAACTTTATTCGTGTATTTTCACACGCACGGTAACGTGTGGAGGATGAGGTGACTTAAGACAAGGTTCCACTTAGGATTAATATTATTATTATTATCATTGGGGAGTCCAATATCCCCGTTGGGATCATACAGCGCCTGTGGGGGTAGGATATATGGAAGGCATTCAGGGAACTGGAGCACAGATCCGATTCCCCAGATCAAGAGCCCCTCACCAGTATCAAGGGACCTCCCTTGAGGGGTCACTCAAGGAGAGCTTCATTCAGTCCTTATCAAGAATTAATACTTCTTAAAATGAACGTTGTTTTAATAACGTTTTGCTGTGGTCTGATTGTCCAACTCGCCCAACACTCATGATATCTGATTTCAGCGAATTTTGTATAATTTTTCCTTGTGTACCTTATGGGGACGCACAGTATGACGTTATTTGTATGAAGCATATCTCTTAGATATTTGAATACGAGGATGTATAGTACAGTTTTCCTTGTACTAGGTATATCTTAGATATATAAATATCGGGACATACAGTATGGCTTTCCTTGTATTAAGTATATATCTTAGATTTAAGTGTATTAGCCGCTTGATCTAGTCGTGTCATGAATTTATTCGATCACTGGTGCCTCAAACAGATTTGCAGGTGTTTTTATTTACCCTGATGTTCATCTTGGGCAAGACTGCCTACCTGTCTTAGCTGGCCTCACATCCACAGTGTTGTTCTCCTAGCATACTCTTCCGGCACGGCTCTCCGACCCGTAGAAACCTCAAGAACCTAAGACTGGGCGAGACTGCGCGTCCTCTCCCGCATTGTATCAATCTTCACCCTTGTTTTTTCATACTCTTCTGCACATTCCACAGCTGCCACACCTTCCACCACTCCCACACACTCCACCACTCCCACACACTCCACCACTCGCACACCTTCCACCACTCGCACATCTTCCACCACTCCCACACACTCCACCACTCCCACACACTCCACCACTCCCATACCTTCCACCACTGCCACACTCCACCACTGCCACACTCCACCACTCCCACACACTCCACCACTCCCACACCTTCCACCAGTCCCACATCTTCCACCACTCCGACACACTCCACCACTCCCACACCTTCCACCACTGCCACACACTCCACCACTGCCACACACTCCACCACTGCCACACACTCCACCACTGCCACACACTCCACCACTGCCACACACTCCACCACTGCCACACACTCCACCACTGCCACACACTCACCACTGCCACACACTCTGCCACGCCCACACATGTACTCCACCACTTCCATTGCCCCCCCCCCACATTTTTACCTCTCCCTTACCACACTACTCCCACACAATTCTCCCACATACTCTGCTTCTCTCACACAATTCTATTCCCATATCACTACCCAACATTTACTCCTACTACTCCACATCATTACTTGTATACTTTCCTCATGCACTCCCGCATTCATTCATACACTCGAACAAGTTTCTAACTCCTACTCTCACTTGAGCTTTTATTCCAGCTGTCACTCCAGCTGTCACTCCAGCTATCATTCCAGCTGTCACTCCAGCTGTCACCCCTGCTATCATTCCAGCTGTCACTCCAGCTATCATTCCAGTTGTCACTCCAGCTATCATTCCAGCTGTCACTCCAGCTGTCACTCCTGCTATCATTCCAGCTGTCACTCCAGCTATCATTCCAGCTGTCACTCCAGATATCATTCCAGCTGTCACTCCAGATATCATTCCAGCTGTCACTCCAGCTATCATTCCAGCTGTCACTCCAGCTATTATTCCAGCTGTCACTCCAGCTATCATTCCAGCTGTCACTCCAGCTATCATTCCAGCTGTCACTCCAGCTATCATTCCAGCTGTCACTCCAGCTATCATTCCAGCTGTCACTCCACCTATCATTCCAGCTGTCACTCCAGCTATCATTCCAGCTGTCACTCCAGCTATCATTCCAGCTGTCACTCCAGCTATCATTCCAGCTGTCACTCCACCTATCATTCCAGCTGTCACTCCACCTATCATTCCAGCTGTCACTCCACCTATCATTCCAGCTGTCACTCCACCTATCATTCCAGCTATCATTCCAGCTATCATTCCAGCTGTCACTCCAGCTATCATTCCAGCTGTCACTCCAGCTATCATTCCAGCTATCATTCCAGCTGTCACTCCAGCTATCATTCCAGCTGTCACTCCAGCTATCATTCCAGACCTCTTAAGCTCGCTTTGTATTCACGACGGACGCGATAAACCCGTTGGGGAGTGGGAGTCAATCAAGTCTGATCCGAGGAATCAGACCCCCATTCCTTGGATCAAGAGACCATCACCGGCGTCTCCTGGTCCTCAGACAAAAAAAAACATCACTTCTGATCACATCTAAATAACTGAACTTTGGAACTTTGTATTACGACACATTTCGCTCATCTGGATATTTTTCGAACTTTTTTTTCAATATTTATCGAAAATTTTCAGTCTTTTTCTTTAAAAGGCTTAAAAAAAATCTGTTTTCAGTCTTTTTTTTTCAGAAAATTTCAATCTCATTTTTTTTAATTTTCAGTTTTTCTCAATGTTTCAGTTTTTTTTTTTTTCAAAAAAATTCAGTTTCTTTTTACATTTTTTTTTTAATTCCTTTCAATCTTTAACAATCATTTTCAATATTTTTCTTTCTAGCTTCTCAAATGTTTCAATGCGTTTCGTCTTTTTTTCAGTCTTTTCCAAGTTCTTATTGAGCGAAATGTATCCCAATTGTGTCTAATTGATGTACATACGTGTGCATTGTATACTTTGTACGCTACACACACACACACACACACGCACACACGGGGCCAGGAGCTGAGTCTCGACCCTTACAATCACAATTAGGTGAGTACACACACCAGCGAAGAGGCGGGCTGTGACTCGACCCCTGCAACCACAAACAGGCGAGTTCACATACATATACGTATTGCAGAACAAGACTGTCATGCAATGTTTCACTCACCTGCGGGTGAAACGATGATCAATAATGTCTTGCTCAGTTGGACAGCTTCCTACAGCACGTGCGAAGCTGTCTTGGCGAGCAGACCGCTAGCAACAACAGCCTGCTTGTCCAGGAGGGCACGAGAGAAGCCTGAATTTCGGCCGGCCTGGGGGAGGAGAGGTACAAAAATATGTGAAGCCGATCACAGGTATACTATTGTGTTATATCTGTGACTTTGTATATGACTGTTATATACCTGGAAAAGACCCGGACCGGGACAGTACCGGCGAATCTACAACAGCCGGTATATATATATATATATATATATATTATATATATATATATATATATAATATATATATATATATATATGTGTTGTTGTGATGTGTATGTACTACTACGAGTAGCAGTTGTCCCTTGCGGGTTTAGCGCTTTGTTCCGATGGTAATAATTATAATACGGGTAGCAGGGTATATACACCGAGGGATGCATGCATTTATACATATGTAGTGAGTAGCAATGTATTTACACCAAGTGTATATATTTGCTGATGTATATGTAGTGATATTTGATTTCAGGAGAGGGAAGGGTAGCCTTGATTCATCGAATCAAGGGCCCTTAATCATCAGCAAGGTACCTTCCTTTTGAAGGGCCACTTTCTGCTGAAGTTCCTAGCCTAGTTCCCCTCAAGGAAGGTTCCTTGATGTTGGTGAGGGGCTCTTGATTTAGGGAATTAGATCTGTGCTCCAGTTCCCCGAATTAAGCCTGAATGCCTTCCACATCCCCCCCCCTAGGCGCTGTATAATCCTCCGGGTTTAGCGCTTCCCCCTTGATTATAATAATAATAATAATAATCCTAGCCTAGTTGAACAAACTAAAATAATCTCGTCAATCTGGGGGCTTAACCATCGCTCTGAGACCTTGTTGAACGAGTCAATTTCTCCCACTTTGACTCTTCAAGTTGCTAAGATTTGCTGAGGCGTAAGAGCTGTCTTGTAAGTTAGATGTAAGTTGGTTAATCCGTGGGGACGGTAGACTTATACATGGGTAATGACT